ACTATAATAACCATGGTGAACACAGAGACTGCATGATCTACAAAACCTGAAACATTTACTATCTGGCCCTTTTAAAAAAAAAAAAAATTACTGACCACTAAAGCTGAAGACTAGAGATGCAAAAGCAAAATGTTGAGTCCCTGGGGGAAGTGAAAATGTTAGAAACCTAAAGGGGAAAAAAGAGCTGTCATCATCAACTGTTCTTCACTCATTAAGAAGAGAATTTTGGCAGGAAGGCAAAAATTTAACATTGTTGGAAAGAACTAATCTGATGGGTGGCTGGATCTAAAGGTAGAGCAGGAATAACAGGATCACATGAACACCTGCACTGGCTAGTTCTAACTGGAGTCCTGAGATATCATTTAAGTAGAAAAACTGTGGGAAAGATACCAGTTAAGTAATACTGGCTTATTCATCAATTAAGATGTATGTATGGTTATCAAAAAAAAAAAAAAGACTCTTATGCAACTATCTTAAGCTTACTAAGGATAATCAATCAGTTATGCAAACAGAAATTATTATTTAGTTTCACATCAGAATACCACTATTTTAACTCAAAAGGTACTTACTAGTGTTAGTATTGGCTAAGGGGTTAGGTTTTCTCTGAATGGCACGTGCTGTTCCCGTATCCTCATTGATTTGCTGCATAGAATTAAAATCAATAGTATAAACTCGTCCCAGAGTGGACAAGCTTATCTCATCCTCACCGACCTGATGGGCTGCCTGAGAGCAAAGAGAGAGAAACTTTGAATATAAACATGGAGAAATTCATCACCTTAAGATGCAGTGAGGACCCTCCATGCATGCTATCTTACATATTTATTCCACATGGTTGGTGAAATAAGAGTATGGAAAACTTAAGATGTGACACAACGAATTCATCCAACAGATTATTTTCAAGTAAATAAAGATGTACATCTCAGGCCCTATCAGGCACTTTTAGAGGTAAACAAGTAAAATTCTGATGGACTATCCATTCACACAGCATGACTGTCATGAAGATACCATTTATTTTATGAAAACTTGTAAGACACTGGGGAGAGAAAAAGTGTTATCCATAATTTTAGTATTCTAATTCTTAGATTAGATTAGCAACCCTCGAAGATCCTCCTTCAAACAAAATGATCCTACAGACCTGGCCTTAGGTAAACAAGGACGGTCTTACACTTAAGTGGTACTCTAAGACTGCAGGAAACATAACTAGAGCTAAGATTAATCACCAGGCTTTGGGCAGCCATTACACAGAACACTGTTTGGTAGATTTCAGACAACTTAGAGAAGTCACAGAATATGGCAGGTATGGTGGCACTTGGGAGGCTGAGGCAGAAGGATCTCTAGTTCCAAGTCAGCCTAAGCTTCACAGTGAGATACTCTCTCACAAAAAATAAAAAAATAAAGACAGGAAAAAAGGTGGAGGGAGGTACAGGGGTAATAGAATGTTCATTCATTTTTAAAGTGGTCTCAGGGTCTTGTGCTTTTTAGAGAATGTTCGTTCTTATTATAGTGGCCAATCTAGGCTGAGTGGAAGACTCTAGAGAAACACAAAATAGAGTAAGCTAATAGTGAAGATGCAGTCATCAGGAAAATTCTAAAAAGAAAAACACTTAGTGTTAGTGATTAAGACCATCAGCTCTGTTTATATACTTAGGCTAGCAATGCACAAAAGACCAGTGGAAAGTTAACTTCCTCATAAAAGTAAGCTGGCTCAGAATTTTCTTTATAAGAACTCTTGAATTAAAAATTTAAGCCCTGTTGAAAGTTTTTTTCAAAGATTCATTTTTAGGAACTGATGGAACACATTTTAAAGAAACATGGCTATACATGGGAGATATGATGTAAAATAATTCAAACATCAAAGGTTGAGTATGAAAATGTCACAATAAAACCCATTGTTGAGTACAATTAATATAGACTAAAAAGAAAGCTTACAAAACAAAGACTGAAATTAGAAAATATTAAGATTTGTTAAGTGTCTTATATATTAAAAATTAGTAAACTGATGAACAGTATCTTAAATGCAACACTGTCTTAAGGGCAAATATTATGCTTATTTGAGAATTTTTTAAAATGTTTAGTACAAACATTGACTATGGAGATACAAATAAAAATCAAACTGTCGCAAAAATTCACTTTTAACATTGATATATTTCCATTTTGTATTATTCATCTTTTCTCTTTAACAATTTCCCAAAAGACTACATATTTTTGTGTATTGTGGTTTCAGAATTTATTCCATTAATAACAGAATCATGAGATTATGTGTCACAATTTCTTTATCATTCATCAGGGCTTTATGTTTGCTCATACGCTTTTTCTCTCAAGAAAATAGTGACGTATATAAATCTCTACTTTTGGGAGATTTCTTTTGGATTGAGATAGAAGACAAAATATGTTTTAGAAACATAAAGCCTAATTCCTCCAATGTTTCCTCAGAAATGAGGAAATAATGGAACAAAGAACTTAAATTACTTGCTCCAAGTCAATCAGGTAGTTAGCAGCAGAAGCAGGACTAGAACATCATGTTTTCTGACCTGAACAGAAATGAGGACCTTGTTCTCAGGAGACAAAATGAGAGAATCTTCAGTTAATTCAAAATTGAGCACACAGAAGCACACACATCCACCTCCCCACTCCACCCCTACACCCACTCTCCTCCAAAATAGACATATTTAAACGGTACGATGAAACTACTACCTCAATGATCCGGCTGTCAATCCGGTTATAGGGATGCCAGAGACCCCGATCGTCCCGCCACTGCCATATCGCACCATCTGTGTTCTGCGCATTTCCCTTCTTCAGCATGGTATCAACTGCAAAAATGCCTTCTTTTGGTAAACATGGCATAAGTTCACTGAAAACAAAAAATGCAATTATTTTATATATAAAGAAGTTTCCCAAACCATCAGTAAACGTTAGATGTCTAAAGTAAAATAACTTCATATAAACCAGAGTCACTACTAGCCCCATACTTACCAAATTAGAGATGTCAGTTCATATAGCTCTTGAGGACTTCGTGGAACAAGATCAATCTGCTCCTGACAACTTCCATTGGAGGCACCACATAAGAGGAAGTGAAGTGTTTCTGCAATGTCTGTAAAGCCAGCAACAAAAAACAAAAAGCCTATTAAACTAGTTGTACTACCTAATTTAGGAGGCAATTATTTACTAGAGAAACAATTAGAATTATTTTCTTATAAATCAACAAAACATGGAAAGTGCAATAAAAACCTAAGAAGAAATTCATGTAGATTTTAACAATTTCGTTCTAGGCTCTTCAGTCTTAGTTGAACCTTCTAGCACCTAATCAAAATTCCTTTCATCTCATGCACTAGACCTAAAGAATCTTGCACTTTGTGCAAAACTGTATTCAACACATTGCTGTTCAGATATATAAGTGTCTCCATTCAAATATACTGAAAATATGTGGACAAAAATATACAATGTAATACTTAAAAGCACGTGGAACTTATCTTTCCTGCCTTATGTAAAATTGCTTACATTATCAACTTGATACATCATTAAAATATTCTTTACACAGGTTGCCATTACCAGAAGACATAAGTTTCTAGAGGATTCTGAATGACAATCACTCATATGTCTTTGTTTGGTTGTGGTGTATGTGTGTTTGTATAAATATTACACAAAAATAAAAAATGCACAAGTTCACAAGGTGATTAAAATTTTTTAAAACCCCTGGAATAGGCACAGTTCTGCTAACTTTATCAAGAAATATGAATACAACGAATAGTACTTTACAAAAGTGTTTTAATGGGCTGGGAAATTTAATTCAGTGGTAGAACATTTGCCTACCATACAGGAAGCCCAAAACCAAAAGAAAAAAGGGAAAAGCTGGGCAAGGTTCAAAAAGCTCCCAGGGACAGTGAAGTAAGTAAAGTGAATTAAGACTACCTAGGAAGGAATTAAACCTTCTTCAAGCTTATTCAAGTAGAGAGCACTTTGGTCACAGTATGGGCAAACCAGCATTCTCTGAAGTACCATCTTTGGGAACCACTGATCTTTTCAACTAATCACATCTGAACACCACTGTGACCCTACCAAGTTCTGTGCCAGTGCATTAATTCACAAAATTTGCAACTAAAAATAAAACTTAACTTCTTGAAACAAAAAATATTAATATTGTTAAATACACTGTCTGAAACTGTGGGACCATTTTGCTACTTCAAACATCAGAGACATTTGTCAGTATGTGGTAAGTTCCAGCTTTTTGAGGAAAGGAAACATTCTAGAATCAGAAAAACTGCTAGAAGATTTAACAGAGGCTGAAAGGACTACAGCACATGTAAGTTACCTATTGTTAACATAGAACCTGGGATTCTAAGAAAGAATTATAGTGTGACTAATAGTGTACAGAAATCACTGATCTAGGGTCATGAGCTCTGTAACTAGTATGGATTAAGTTTTTAAAATATCATACATAATATTAAAATTGCATGTTAGAAACATTAATATACTATCCCAACATGAATTATGATACAGCGACTTTTTGTCACTGGTAGTGCTGGGAATCAAACACTGGGCCCTCGTGCATGTTAGGCAAACCTCTACCACTGAGCTACATTGCTAACCCAACACTTTTCATCTTCAATACCCTACAGTAGTGTATTAGTTATCTTTTCCAGATGCTTTGCTTATGTTGACTTAATTTTGTAGTGAAGAACAAGCCACTTTTCTTGATTAAAATAAAATAAAATAGCACTTACTCTGCTTCATAAGCTGAACAGCTAATGTTGGACAGTTGGAACACATCAGAGAAAACATGCGAACCACCATTATAAACATCCCAGAACTTAAAATTGGTGGAGTCACTACCAAAAGCTGTTGAACATTTGTAAGCAGATCTTTGGAGGCAACCTGCTGCAGTAAATTCTCCAAGAATACAAGAAGAATAAATTGTTATTTTGTGATTTAGCAACTCAACAACTTTTATAAAACACCAAAGACTAAACACTTACCTCCTCATGTTGAAAGTTATCCACTAGACGTGCAAAACAAAGGCAAGTGCTTTCTACTGACTTCTTGTCCTATTATTTAAGAAGGAAAATGAAGCTAATTAATATAAAATATTTGCATTATCATACAGCACTATCTTACACTCTTAACCCCAGGTTCTTCAAAGCAACCTCAATTAGTAGATGTGAGCTTTGAAAAAATGAAACTAGGCACGGCATAGTCAGTAATAAAGATTTCATGGCAAAAAGAATCATTCTTACATAAATGCTTTCCTCCATTAACTACCCAATAGATAAAAACAACACAGAAAAGAAGGAACAAATACCATGTTTATGTAATCTCTATACCTAAAGTTATACTGAAGAAAAATATCCTACTTTCCTTTAGAAGTATTTCAAGTAGAAATATTTAAATACATACATACTTTAAAAGGTAGAAATAGTTAAGTATAAGCATGTGAGTCAGAGGTGCTCAGGCACTTGAGTGCCCACAAAACTTGGAATTCTCAGGGGATCCTAGAACCAATCCCCCACAAATACAAGGACTGATCTACCAAGAGCAGTCTACATTTTTCATTTCTATTTGGACATAATATTATCTCCCTTCTGATTAGAAGAAGGGAGAAAAAAACCCGTATTTTCCTGTTCCCGTCTGCCTTCTTTGATGCCATTCAAGGAAAAATGATCTCTCCAAAAGGAAAAATCTGATCATATAACACAGTAAAAAAACTCAATGTTTGCTGCAATAACAAATTAATCCCTTAATGTCAAAATAATAATATGAAACATATAAACTACTGTTCATTTGGGTAATATATATTCTGTTCAGAGGATTTTAAGACATTAGCTAAAATTACCATAATAAAACTATTTCATGATGTGTAAAATAGGTTCATATTTTACCTGATGTGTTAGCCTTTGGGTAAGCAATGGGAGAGAATCTGCCACAAAATGAAATTCATCTGGTGTAATACTCTGGCAGCAATTGGCTGCAATTGCTAGTGCATTTCTTTGAGCATTTATGCTGAAGAACTCTAGATACAGCAAGCAGTCTGCCAAACCACCCTAAAATATAGAAAACTGTTACGGTGAAGAAAAATTCTTTATTGGCAATATAAAATCAAAATGAGCTATTAAAAAGTCTAGCACATCAGTTTGGAACCATGCATCTTAAAGATACTGTAATCAAGGAACTAGTACAAATGTGGATCTGCAGTCCACCAATAAATGAAGTAAGACTTTCATTAAACAACACTTACTGCCTGTAGAATGGCTTTACTGTGTCTCCGTGACAACATCTCCAACGCAGTCAAGGCCTGCTCTGCCACATCAATACACTGAATAACTTGCAGCTAAGAACATATAAATAGGTAACCTAAAGTTATCACTTAAGTTCTTTTCTAGTACTTTATTTTCTACATGATAAGAGTATTTTCCCTAATTTCTACCACTTTACAGTGCTTGTAACATAAAACCACCATAGGAAGCAAATCATTTATGAGCTTAAGCCATTAGGTATAGCTGATACAGTTTCCTCCCAATTACTGAACATGTTTTATATAGAGAATAAAACTTAATTTAAAACAGATGGGAAATTTTTACGCTGGGGGTGGAAATGCCCCATATGGTTATCCATAATCTCAGCTACTTGGGAAAAGGAGGCAAGAGTACTATGGGTTGGAAGCCACTCTGGACAAAGTTAGCAAGACCCTATCTCAAGGAACTAAAATACAAATGGCCTGGCAAAAAGTTCACAAGACCCATTCAACAGAAAAGTCTGGGTGTAATGGTATACACCATTCATGCCAGCTGTGGTACAAAGTGTAAATTAGTGCAAAAATAAAAGGAAGGGGGAGAGAGAGAGCCAGTGGTGCTTGGGATGTGGCTCAAGTGGTAGGGCACTGGCCTAGCATGTGGAAGGCGGACCTGGGTTCAATTCCAGTACTACAAAAAAGGAAAAAGGAAAAAAGAAAAAGAAAGAAATTAAATCAGGTTTTACACTTTACATCATATTTCCTATTTATTAGATAAAGCAAAATTTGCTGTGCATTAAGAAAAGCAAAAGGTTCATAAGATAGACCAAAACCACAACCTACCACAAGCCATATGAAAAAAATTCCTTTGTCCACTGACTCAATTTTATAATCCTTGTCTCAACTATCTCTATGAACAGTTACTGACTTCACTGATGTTTTCCAGAAATTTGATTACTTTTAATTAAGTGCTTTAAGTTGTTCCCTGAAAATTACTGTATTAATGTGGTAATTGCTACCATTAAAAATTATGAAAATGGGCTGATTTTGTAAGTGATTTGTTAGCTTCAACTTTAAACTACTGGACTGATGAAGTATTTCTCTCTAGAATTCTGGTTAAAAAATACATCATGGATAGATGATGGAAGCTGAAATTCTAGAGTTCAAAAACTTGATTCCCCATAGCTACTTCAGAACAAGCTGAGCAAAACAAAAGGAGAACTACCTTTTCTAAAAAGACAGGAATAGCATCTACCACCACAGCAGATGATCGAGGAAGTGCTTCCATCATGTATGTTAAGGCTCGACAAGCATGGTTCATCTAGAAAACAACAAGGGTTTTTTCCCTCAATAAAAACTCAAATTAAAATGTACAGCAGCTTTATAAAATATGGTGTACACTTACAATATCAAAGTTATGTTCCATCTGCAGTAATGTTATCTGTTAAAAACATAACAAGGTATTAGAAGGCATACTCTGAGAAATTCTAGAAATATTTCTTCTTCCAATTCAAATGAAATGGAAAAGTATTACTCAAGACTTGTAACACAAAAATGATAATCAAGATAAAATCTAGCAGGCATATACAAGAATGGTGATACTTAAGATGGCATTCATTACACGCTATAGCTCTGACCTGGCAATGCTGCTAGATTAACCACCACCTCATGACCCAGGTCAAACACTGCCTCTTGTTTTCAATCAGCCTTTTTGGTAGTTCTAATCCTATTCAGAAGCCCACCAACATATCACTAACCACTTCTCAGTGGCAATAAATACTGATATATAAGTGCTCAAGACCAGTAATGCACTGACATTTCCTGAATTAACAATTGTCAGCACAGACACAGGACGACAGCTGAAACTCCTGTGAAAAAGCATCTCTAAAAGAGATAAGTACCACTTAACTAAATTTTAAAGTATATAGTAACATGTGAATTAAACATAAGATCGATGACATCAGAAACAAACTATGAACTAATTAAAAGTCAAATATATGTAATTATTCCACATATGAATAACTGAATCTAAATATCCGATTTCATTCTACTTTTTTCTTGTGAAAAAGACCTGAGATTGCATCCATATGAGGTGCAAAACTTCTAGTGGTGCATACTGCATCTTCCTGAAGGAGCTAAATTTTCTCCATTGGGCAGTGGGGGTGGGGGATGATGGGATGGAGATGGGGACAAGGACGAAGACAACAATCGCTCACTGTCTTCTAGTTCATCGAAACTTTTCAATGCACTGAGTTTAGGCTGTTAAGTACCCTCCAATTAAATGTCTGATTACAGTACTCTAATACAGTATTTACTTAGTATGAGTCTTCTCGGCTCTTAATTATGCCAAGTAAAGTAAAGTATAATTACCTATACCGCAGAGGTCTTGCAAACAATTTTTGTTTAAAACAACAACAACAAAAAATACACACACACACACCCAACTCAGGATCAAGCAGCACTCTTTGTTTCAAATCACTATTATGAACCATTTAAAACCCTTAGTCTAAATTGAAAGGGGTTACCATACTAACAGAAAAGTAGCAAGTTCCAAAAACACAAGATGGAATAGGGCTGGTGGGGTGGCTTAAGTTAGGAAGGGCTCCTGCCTAGCAAATGTGAGGCCCTAAGTTCCAATTCCAGTACTGCCAAAGAGAAGAGAGATTTGGGGGGTGAGGGAAGGAGAGAAGAGGAGAAAAACTTCAACCTTTCAAGGATGGAATGAGCCCATTAAGGCCATATATGTGAAGAACTGCTGTAGATTCCCTTACACCAAAAAATGATTGGTTTACGGTCATACGAGTATATGGTAATGGATAGATTAACAATATGTGTGATAAAAGATACCCAGATAACTGATTAATAGCCAGAATTAATCACTTGATTTGATTAATTCAAGCCTACTAAGTACCTAAATTTAATCAACCAGAAAAATAAGTAAATTATGTGTCAACGTTTCTGCTTATACTTAATGATTAATTTATTGACTAATAAAAACTTCATTTTAACTGTAGAAATTGTATAAAGTCTTACATTAATAGCCTTGTTGCCATTTACTTTTTAGTGAACAAAAACCAAAGAGAGAAAAATTCAACTCAGGTCAGGGAAGTCATCAGCAATGTGAGAATGAGTATTAACAGACAAAATAAAAAAATACAAAGGCTAACATGAAACATCTAGAAAGCGACATACAAACTTTTTTCGGTAGAATAGAGTGGATAAGATTCGAGAACTAGCTTTTATTTCCCAGAAATCTGAGTGGTAGAAAGGGAAGAAGCTATTTTAACATTCATCAACTCAAGCCAGAGCTAAGCCATCCAAAAAGTAATAGGCAAAAACATGATTAAGTCTCCTTGGGCTATTATTGTTGTTGTTGTTGTTGTTGTTGTTGTTATTATTATTATTATATTATTATTATTATTATTATTATTATTGTGGTGGTACTGGGGTTTGAGCACAGGGCCTCATCTTACTAGGCAGGAGCTCTACCACAAGAGGCACTCCACCAGCCCCATCTCCTTGTATCTGATAGGCCTTTGCTCAGCACTCTCCTTAAAAGTCAGCTCTACAGAATTTGATGATCAAATGAGATGATCTTATGTGTTAAGCATAATTTCATTTTTACCAGCTTCAAAGGGCATGTAAAAATACATATTTAATTTCGAAGCTAAAACATGCTGTAAATGTAATGATGTTTATGTTACTATTCAGTATGATGTTACTATTCAATTGAAGCTTAAATTTTAATCTTAAATCATACCTAATTTCTTTTATTTTGAACTAAGAAAATCATCAAGTCACAATTTAAAAGCTACATCTGGTAATGACAATTTTTCTTCCTGTGGTTTTTACATTAGAAAGCTTAAGTCTTAAGATGTTAAGTCTCAAATACCAAAAATATTACCAAACAACTGTGCAAAAATCATTTAAAAGATTTTGGTGGCTTTTTATTTTTGGGGGGTAGGCAGTGAGAAGGGAGGTTTCTTTGTTCCTGTTTTTCACTTAACATTAAACCTTTGAAACAAAGAATTCACATAGGATATTGGCATGACCACTGTTCCCATGCACATACTTAACCAAATATGAAAACTTTCTCAGCCACAAATATAACCAAAGTGAACTTTTGTTATTGCCCCAAGAACGAAGAAGTGAAAAGTCCTGTCTTAAACAATTTACATGGCCAGTGGCTCATGCCTATAATCCCAACTACTTGGGAGGCTGAGATCAAGAGGATCAAGGTTCCAGGCCAGCCTGGGCAAATAGTTCGTAAGACCCCATCTCCAAAATGACCAGAGCAAAATGGACTGGAGGTGTGACTCAAGGGATGGAGCACCTGCTTTGCAAGCATGAAGTCCTGAGTTCAAACCCCAATCCCACTTAAAAAGAATCAAGGTAATACAAATGGGCCAAACAACTTAAAATTTAAAAGTATCAAAGAAAAAGTGACTATTCATCATTAGCATTCATTTGCAATATATGTAAGCATGAAATACAATAAGCCATATACTCATCTCTTTATTCTATCATGTTTGATATAAATAAATGAAAATACTAAGCCACTAAGTCATAAACTCATCTCTTAGTTCTATAATGTTTTAAAATTAATAATGACAGTAATAGTGCATTTTGTAAAAACTCAACAACTTCAAAAGACAAGTGAAGTTAAAGTGAGGATACTGTATCCATACCAAAGCTGGAACGACACTCTTGACAGGAAACCCTCCTAGCGTTTCCTCATTTCCCATGACCAATAGCTGACACATTTCAATGACTGCCTGAAGCTGCTGACTCTCATCACTGGCTTGTAGTCCTTGCAGAAGCTGCTGGGCCTTAGAACCTTCAGAAGAAAGACATCGATATTTTTTAAAACTTAAGAAAATTATTGCTTAGTTCTAAATAACTGGCTGCTTCTCATCCTTAGAACCCAACACTATTGCTGTATTCAAGGTAGAACTAAAGTAGATGGATCTGCATTGTCTTAACATGATCTGAGTTATTAATATACTTCTGAGTTTTTAATTGAGAAGTTGATCTATTTTTAACAGCAAAAACAAAAAACAATACCAGACTAATAAGAACTGCTTTTAAAGACATAGAAAAAAGTAAAGCTTTTCTGCAACAATAAAAAAGTATTGAACAATGATGCCCAAACATCAAAGAAAATGTTACGTTCTTCTAAAAATATGCAGCAGAATAAATGGAATCCAAATAACAGAGAAAGGATAAAGAAATAAAAGACAATCAGAAAGATGTATCTAACAAAAAAGTATGTAAAGAAAGAATTCCTGCAAAAAACAGTGAAACAGCCTTTACATTTCCTCTCATTTCATATGTCTACAGATGCTGGCTACTGACTCAATTCCATTAAGACTTTTAGCATTCAATTCCATTACCCAAACAAGTGGAACACTGAGACCCCCACTGCCTTAGAGATCTAAGTTGTTATTAAGGTGAAGACAACACTGAAAAATAAAGTCTAGGATTACAGGTGCAGCTCCATAGTAAAGCGCTTGCCTAACATGTGAGATGCTAGGTTCAATTCCAAGGTCCACAAACAACCGCTACAACTGGTTTTCGTTTTTCATGTATACTTCCCCACTTGAAATGATTAATGCAAGTGATATCTACTTAATGTCACTTTCAAGCCTTTTTTATCGTACATCTTTTCAGTTACTCTTTCCATACTGGGTCTACCTATTCCCATATAATTAAGTATTGAATGGCATAAAAGCTGATGTATGTTTGAAAACAACCAAACAAAATAAAATTTATCAAAACCAAAGTTTCTTATTGTAATTAAGATTCAGTGATCTTCCTGGGAGGATAAACATCAAAAGGACACATGGTGAGCCTTGGAAGATTTGTACTCTCTATTATTTCAGACCGTAAGTAATGAATTTCAAAATTATTGCTGCCAACATGCCTTTATAAAAAAATATTTTTTGATGGTACCAGGATTTGAACTCAAGGCCTTGTGCTTGCTAGACAGGTGCTCAACCACTTGAGCCATGTACTCTGCTGCCTATCTACCTTTATCATAATTAAAAGTCTATGCCAAAACACATTGCAGTCAAGTTCAGAAGAATGCCAGTCTTAAATTTTAAACTAAGTACTATCAATTCAGATTTAAGAGCAGATGTGTCATTTTTATGCTTAAATAACACAGAAGGGAAAAAATGGAGGAAAAAGTAGTGAAAACAAAACAAAATAGTTTCTAACTTCATTTTAGAAGGATGAAACAGTTTATATCATTCATCTTAATAGCACCTACAAGAAGAAAAATGGACGCATATGCCATGCAATGGGTGTCTCATAAACATTGAGGCTGGGAATTGTTAAGAATTGTGAAGTCTTTAACAAGATCAAGATTATAAATACACCCGAACATTTAGGGTGTTGCTAAGAACTTTTACCATTTAAAGATATAGCTGAGTAGAGGGTGGCAGAGGACAACACAAAAAAACCCAAAGAACATTTACCAAACTAAAAATAACAAAGCCAAAACCATAATAAATCCTTCTGTGTGGTGAAATATAAATTGCACATCAATAGATTTTGCATTTATAACCATTTTGTACATTTAAAATTAGGTACAGTAGGGCAGGGTATGGGTGTCGATCAGCCTGGCATGTATGTGACCCTGATTTAATCCACAGGATTGCCACTCTCCTCCCCAAAAAAAGAACCCCAAATGACTTGTTTATGTGGGCTAAATCCATTGATATTTTTAAAATATGTATGGAATTAAAGCAGAAAATGTCTTATTATCTGTCAATTAATTCAATGCATATTAATACACTAAATTTTTGTTGAAAAAATGACCCTATTTTCTAAAATAAAACATTGTAAGAAGAACAGCATCACCATCTGTCTGTGGCAAATCTTAATGTCAAGGTTTAAGACATCTGGAAGGGGTGGTGATATAGCACAGAGGTAGAGCTCTTGCCTCTCATGTTCAAGGACCTGGGTCTGACCCTTAGCATTGCAAGAAAATGAAAAACAAGACAAGACAGCTAGATACTCTACTTCTATCCTCAATCTGTAGTGATACATTATTGGAAAAAAAATATGAAAAAATGGCCCCCATTTTGATACATAGATTATTAAAAAAAAAAAACCATGGACTTAAGAGAAAAGACCAACTTCAGTTAATAAATTTGCCTTCAAGGACATCCTAAAGCAAGAACGGATTTCACTAGGAGAGATGCTGAAGGAAGGTACTCCAATCTGAAACTGAAGAATACAATGACTAAATACAGTTTGGTGCCCCTGCTTTGATTCCTTTTCAGGTACCACACCAATTTTACCCACCAGTTCAAACATCAACAAAGAGAGAAGGAAAATCTTCAATAAGTACTATTACTAGCTTGACCTTACAATTTCCATGTAAGAATCTTGGGAACCTCACCCATAGTCACGACCACACATCAAGAAACACTACTGTAGATCAGGGGCTGGCAGGCAAAACATTTTTCTATCAAGAACCAGACAATAATTATTTTGGACTTTGCAGACCATATAGTCTGTACAAGTGCAGTTTTCAAAAGCATCCATAGACAACATGCAAACAAAGGAACACAGCTATGATCCAGTAAAACTGTATAGACACCGAATTGTAACCTTCATTTAATTTTCATGCCACAAAATACTACTCTTCAAATTTTCCCAGTCACTTAAAAACATCAAAGTCATTCTTCATTCACAGGCTATATAAAAGAAAGCTGGATTTGGACTCTAAGTTTTGACTCCAGTCACAGGAGACTACTATGTCAAACTCAACTGGCCCCATCAGAAATTTGCTGACTTTGGAACTGATAAAAACAACAGGGGCTGTGTACAATGTTTTGATAAATAGAATAAAGTTTCTTGCAATCTCAGTTGAGAGAGACTGCCTCAAGCACACATAGCCAGTACCCAATCCTCCCAACACACCTGTGACATTTTGAAGCTGCTCCATTACCTATGGCTGAGGAGACAGGTTTTCAATCAAAACCCTTAAGAGGGCCACAAAGAGAAACAGGAATGCAACAGAGGTGAAATCAGTCACACCAAAATTGCAATGCTGGTCAAAAGAAATTCAAGTCCTAACTGGAGGAAAAGTAATCCAATCCACTTCTGAGCTTTATGCTTAAAGAGAGAAAAAGAGGAAACCACCACGGGCAGAGGTATCACATGGAACCTCTTCAGTTCATTTACACGTTTGGTGTAATACTCGAAAAAATCACTACACATGAAGAGCTACTAATATGGGACAGAAAATCAAGAAGGAGGTGGGGTGGCTTAGTGGCAGAGAGCTTGCCTAGTATACAGGAATTACTGGATTTAATTCTAGGCACAACAAAATAAAAAAGAGAGGGGAGAGAAGGGGAAAGAGAAAAGGCAGGAGGGAGGGAGGGAAAGAAGGTGGGAGATAAGGGAGAAAGACAGAAGGGAGAGAGGGAGGAAGGGAGAAAGAAAGAGAGGGAGAAAAACAAAGAGAGAAAGAGAAAAAGAACAAAAGGGAAAGAAAGGAAAGAAAGAGAAAGAGACGTAAGATGCACAAAAGGAATAACATACAGAATTTCAACATAAAACTGGAATCTAATTTTTTAAAAAAGATTAAAATATCTAGAACTGAAAAACACAGTATTTTAAATTAACTCACTGATAGAGGGGGTTAACAAAAGACTGAAGGAAGACAGTAGAGAAAAGAATTAGTGAATTTAAAACTGGACAGAGAAGGCAGGTTCTTTAAGGCAGAAACACAGGCTGGGTTCAGCCAAAATTTCAGCATGTATGGACATGATACTCCTAGAAGTACAATACTTAAAGAGATAAGACAAATACGTGACATAATAACAGCCAAGAACTTTCCAATTCAGATAAGACCAATTCTCACATTTGAAGGCTGTGAAATCCAAGCAAACTATCAAAGTAAACATCACATGAAGATCAAGTCCAACAGTCAAACAATTAAAAAATAGTAATAATTTGAAAATCTTTTATAAAGTCAGAAGAAAATAAGACACTGCCTTTAAAAGGTATGAGTAATAAGAATAAGAAAAAAATTATGAAATTTAGAAGACATTATGAAAGTGCTGAAAGAAAATTTTACACTGGGGGAACATCCTTTAAACATTAAAGCAAATCAAAGATTTTCTCAAACAAAAGCAGACAACTATCAGCAGTCCTGTATTATATGAAAAAGTTCTTCAGGGTTGAGGGATACAATCCTTGATAGAAGGAAGGAATTAAGAGCAAAGAAAGTATAAAGAAATGAGCAAAAATGAAACAATATGGATGTCTAAAACAACTATATCACGTTTCTAACAAATGTATAAGTCTAATAAAAAAACAGTGTAGAGGATGGGAGGAGGCAACCTATATGATAAAGAATTTAATAATTACAATAAGACAACTATATATACTATAATCTCTAGGTTAACCACTAAAATAAACATACAAGGATATACAAGCTAACAGAAGAGAAAAAAATAATAGATAACACCTGACAATCCCAAGTCACTATTTCTCATCTATAAATTTGGTAAAGCCCGAAAAGTGTGACACTATACTAGTGCTATACATGACTGATAGAAATATGAGATAGTATAACTCCAAAAGTCAGAGATTTGTAACATCTTCCAAGACTTTTGTATGCATTTACCATTTTATGCAGCAACACTGTTTGTAGAAATTTATTCTAAAGATAATGCAGGAAAATATAAAATGTGTATTTCATTGCAGAAGTACTAATGGGAAAAAAAAAAAGAAAGAACCCAAATGTCCAAGTGGGGAGTGGTCAAATAAACTATGTGTATATCAACAATGGAATAATATGACAACTTCTTTACAAAAACAATAAAGAAGTCCTCCCTACCCTCTATACTCATCTAGGAAAGGCACTGTGTGAGCAGTGGATAATAAAGATTTTGTTTTTATTTTATAAGCAAGTACCAGAAGGAAAACCCATATATTTGAAAGGTTATT